TTTTACTGGATATCCTCCATATCATGATATTTCACACAACAAAGATCTAGCAACACATATTTGTCTAGGTTACAGACTTAAAATTAAATACGAAGTTCCTAAGTTACTTTGGATCTGATGAATAAATACTTAAACGCAGAACCTCGAAATAACCAACTCCTAAAGAATTAGTTAAATCGTTATATCAATTTTTTAATGATTTGAATGATGAAAAAACTGAAATATCTAAGCAATTTAAGATTCAGAAAAAATTTTCTTAACATATAATCAAGTCAAATCGTCACATTTCAAATATCAGACACATTCGCAAGTTATTTATACAAGTCGTATTCATATTTTTAGAAAATTAGTAATATAATATCAATTGTAAAAAATTTCTGAATCCGTCAATATAGTAAATGCAGGTAATAATATTTATTTCTCAAGTTAAATTCAAATTATAGTTTTAGTATATTTATATGTATATATTTCAGCAAGTCAACCCAGTCTACGCATTAAATATGTTGAAGTTCCCGACGGTAAGTAATATTTTGGTTTATTTATAACTAACCAAATTTATTGCTTATTTTTATATTTGTATTTAGATTTTTAAACCAAGTAAAAAGAATTATTGAATTGGGGTATTCTATTTATTATTGTTATTGAAATGCTTCAACAATTCAGTAATTATTATATAACTTCATGTATGTACGTGCCTAAAGAGAAAAAAGATATTAAATAATAATTATTAAATTTATTTTTATTACTGTTGTTGGTAATAGGCTTGTTATTTTAAATGATATATTATAAATTTTTTAAAGAAAAGCTATAAAATTATAATCTAGGTATTAAGGTTCCGAACCTCAACAGTTCCTGTTTCCTAGTATAATCAAAATTAAATATAGAAACTGTGATTAATATTTTATAAATAAGATAATAATTAAATGTTAAATGTGCATCTCAGCATTAAGTTTATGTAGATAAAAACGGGAGTGCCAACCAATCAAATTTCGAGTTTAATTTCGTCAATAGTCTCAAAACGCCATTTTCAAAGATACTTCAAAAGTTTTTAGCGTAAAAAAAAAACATAGTATAAAAATATAAATAGCAAAATTTTTCGTTATAATAAAGAATATAAATTATATCGTAATACGTATGAAATGTTACATTAAAAGTTAAAACTGTATTTTTTTACAAATCATAAGGGAGAGTCGGGTATACTGGCGCGGGTGGGTATTTTGGTGCACTTAGGTTTTCAACTATATTCCGTTAAACGGCACTCAGAAGCAAATTATATTGGTGCTATTCGAATCGTTTCATTAAGACGATACAAATTATATAAAATCGTAGGGTTCTAATTACCGAACTACAAAATAAATGAAGATCAAATATTATGGTTCACGTATTATTCACGTGTTCGATTTTTCTTTTCGTTCGGATAATGTCTGGCGGGAGGATGCAGTAATACAAAATTCATAATGCACCGTTTAAATTTAAAGTTTTTTTTTTTTTATTGATTCCTATTCATTTTGCTAAATTTTGGAAATAAATAAGCTTTTCCTAAAAATTTTTATATGTGCAACTCTTTAAGTGCATCATAGATAAAAGCCGCAACATATTTTCGTGGCAATTTTATCAACAGTCAGAATTAATTGCCATTATATTATTTATAGAATAAGATCCAGAATACAAAGATCTAATTTCCTTTTTTTAAGGCTTTACAACTAATCAACCCTCTTTCTTTGTATTAACTTTACATTATAAACATGAAGCTATAATAATTACATAGAAAATAAGTATAATGAATTTTTGGTTTTCATACTTTTATTAATTTGAATAATTAAAATGAGAAGCATTATTCGATAGTAAATCTTTACGAACTTAAATGATATACATATCTCAGCTTATGAATCCTATGGTTATTGACTTTTTTTTTTGAGTTATGGCCTGGTTTAAGCTTAATTTAGTCCTTTATTTTTGTAACCATTTATGCTTAAAATTTATTACGAAATAAATTTTCATAAAAACGGCTTTTTAACTAACTTTTGTACTTCTAATTAAATACATAGAAAATTATGAGATTTATGTATTTTACTATAAACCAAAGTTGAAAAAATTATTTTTTGTAAAGTTGCTTTCGGATTCACCTTTTGACCCAAAACAATGATGAACTATTTCTAAAACACCCGAATATATCAACTTTCTTTCTATAACTTAACATAGACCGGTATTACCATTTCAAGATAATAAAAAAGCTATTTTATTAGTTGTGCAAGTGCACCATTTTGCTATTTGTTTGACGTTACTTAAGAGCAAAAAATTTGTGTACCTTTTGTTTAAAAAATGGCCCAAATCAAAATGGCCGATATGAAAACTTTACATTTGATAAATCACTTATTACTAACATTTCTTAATTAAGGCTTTTTCTTGTGTGTAATTTGCATGAGAATTATATCTTTATGCATGAGATACACCTCTACGCATGATTAAAAAAATACGAATTTTTTATTAGCCCTATAATTAAGACAAATAGAACGTTTTAGACTTAATTATATTATGCGATTAATGTGCTCTATTCCATATATACAAACATAGAGTAAATAATGTATAGTTCTATAATGAAAAAAATACATGTTTAAAAAATTTTATTTTATATACCAATAGATCAAATACGTACAATTCAATTAGACGCAAGTTCTAGAAAAGTTTACATTTTGAGTTGAGGAAGAAAAGAACTAAATACATCATATTTACTTTAATTATAATCATTTGTACAAATTTAAAGTATGAGAACCTTTGCCATTGCTACAGTATAATATGAACACACATATATAAATAAATTTTCACATGTAATAATAATAAGATATGTAGTAAAGTAATTTATATTAAATCAAAGTTACTAAGGATTTAGAATCACTACTTCGGGACTCGCTGGTCTCTGCTGTGCAATCAATCTTTGCATTTCTGCTTGACGTTTATCATAAAATTTAGAATCATCTAGTATTGAAGTTTTGCTACGATAATCAAAAAATATTTTCAACATTTCGCGACCAGGTTCTGAATAAAGTTCCTGAGTATCACGACTATTAGTAACAGGTTTATTTTCGTTATTTCTTTAATATGCCCCACAAAATTTAAACACAATCATTAGTTAAAAATTAAATGTTAATCACATAAAAGCTAAATTTTAGCAATACATACACTATTCTAATATGTCTCAGCTGGCCATTTGGAATATCTTTGGCGAAAATCCATTTAACTTTAAACACACCAAACCCTTTATTTCTTGCCAAAACAGAAGAAGAACTTGCATAATCTACAGGAGTAAGCATTTCCGCCATGCCACAGAAATGTCCACTAAAAGAATTAATAAATATGAGTGATCAAAAAATTCGAATAAATAGAAAATTGAAGTAAACAAGCTAATTAGATATTATTTACCTAGCATTAACACTAAAAAACAAATAAATTGGACCTTTATCTGCGTTATCACGAAAAGCCTTATCCAAACGGCGATTACCGACTTCTGTACTGGTCCAAATTTCATACTATATTGATAAAAATCATATTAACATATTAAGTAAAATAATATCTATAGAATTAATGAAAATGAACATACTTTTATCGATTTATAAACTTCATCTTCCGTATAAGATTTGATTACAAAAAATCGTGCCTAAATTAATTATAATAGTGATCAAAATTATTCAAAGAATATTAATGTTAAAAGGTATGCATATGAAGCTTACGTATGGTGGTTTGCAATTAAAAGTTTTTGGATTAAATCCTCTTGTTGATATCCATGATGAAATATTATCTTGCTTAACCATATCTTTTGCTAGAGAAATGGAGATATCATCTACTGTATGTTGATTGGTGTTATAGGCTCAGTATTTGAAGCAAAAGCGGCACTATTTCCATTTTCATGTGTTGATGTTGATGTTGATGAAGCGATTGTTGACCATGATCTGAAAATAGCACTTGGAGATGTTGATTGATTGGCTTTATCAGTGTAAGTATTTGACGCAGGTGAAACTGTTGTTGAAATCGTTGAAAGTGATGGATGCTTTCTAGTTGTTTTGTAAATTACATTCTGAAATGCTAATTGCCTGAGTGCTTGAACATTAGAAATATTGAAATTTTTGTGAATTTCCGATAAATTGTGTAATTAAATAATAATTATATATATTTATTTGAAATTTTTTTACTTACAGCTTCGTGATTCCAAAATTAAATCATTTTCGCCTTTTTATAATAGAATAAACAACTTTTATCAACAAACATACAAATTAATAAGACAAAAATTCTATCACACTTACAATTTAAAGTTGTCGGCATTCGAGGTGGTAAAATAGTTGAAGTGATAAACTTATTTGGAGCCAAAAATTTTGCCATAATATCTTCCCATAAATTATGCTCAAGGATTCGATGATATGGATACAATTTCTCCATAATATCATCACCAGCAATTTGAAAGTATCGGATATGGGGTAAACAATTTTTAAGAGCAGTTTTCAAAGACAAAAAGTTTTCATTAGACCATTGTGTAGGATTAAGATTAGAATTGAGCCCAGTGCTTTGGCTTTGAGCTATTCCCCATCTAATAACTTGATCCCAAATTTTTCCTTCATCCATTTGTAAGTTGTCAAGTTTTAAAAGAGAAACCACCGCATTTTCTGGAAAATTTATAAAGTCCTCGGAATCAAATAAAAAATTTGGGTTTTCATCAATAAGATTATTACAAGATTGTTGCAAAATTTCAAAATTGTTGCTTTCAAAACTTAGTTTATAAATGTAAGAAAAATGCAGACTCATCCACAAAGCATGATCTTTAACTAATTGTGATTGTAAATGATTAGTCAATTCTTCAAGACCAAATTCATTAGCAGTGGTTAAAAGACTAAGAAGTGTAGACGCATTGACTTCATCGAGTGTAACAATACCACCATAAAAGTACCTAAATAAATTAAAAAAACAATGCTTAAAAAATTTTTTATTGAATTTATAAGAAATAATTCAATGTTAATAAAATAAATTTCTAACTTAATAATGATTTTAAAATCAACGGCAGAAATATTTGAAATTTTGAATTTTATGATGGAATCATTTTCATTTTCAACCAATTTATCATGAAAATAAGAACATCGAGAATTCAAGATAAATGAATGGGCCTTGAAAGTTTGATGGTTCGGTGCTTGACCAACTTCAATTAATACATCATGGTCTCTACCAGTTTCGAGAAGGTTTTCTAAATCGTTAGAAAGTTTTGTAAAGAATTCTATTGTCATTTGTCAGAAAGCATCTCGTTATTGTATCCATATATGTATAATTTTTTTCATGATTTCAGGATCATTAGCCTGTTTTAGTAAGGCCAAATTCTTACGTGAGTACAGAACGTTATAATATTGAGGGGTAAAATTTCCACCCCGGGAGTGACTCGACTCGATATTCTTATCGTTATATAATTAAAGGCCACCGAATAACAAAGAATGAAGAAAGGTTTAGTATTTAGCTCATATGTAAAAAATAAGTACTGTATAAAAAACGAATCTTTTTCGCTTTTTCGCTTCAATAAATAATAATATATAGTTCAAATTAAATATTTATAGATTTACAGTCTTAAAATTTTATAAAATCTTGAGTAAATTCGTTACGCAATCTAGAGCTATAAGTGAAGACTTTGAACAAAGTGCTATATCGGCCGCTACAAAATAGGGGTGTAATTAGACCAATTAACTGATAAATAAATCGATGCAATGCCCTTTAAAATGATACTTTTAATTTTATTACAATTTTCTAATAATTAATAAAATATAGTATGTTGACATGAAATACCAGTTGAAAAATTTAACGAATAACTTCAATATATCTAATACGGTATATCTGAAAAGAACACCGCATGGTAAAAAAGTTTCAAAAAAAATTTACGTTTTACTGATATAAACTAAAATTTTTACTGTAAATTTAAGAAAATAAACAAATATCAACTTTTTCTCTTTTGAATAATGCTTTACGCCCTCAATATTAATATCAATATTATTATTGCGAAGACCTAACGAAGTTAAAGTAGTGTCTTTGTGAAGTGTTCTTGCTAACAACAGTTTTGGGTGCTTATAAAAAGATATTTTGATATGAATATTGGAAATTAGATATATTGAGTTACTACTTAGCCAACCAAATCTATTGCAACTAAATATGGACCATTACACATTAGCGTTAGTAAAATTTCGCTTTTATTACACTAAAATGCAAATATGTATGTATACAGACGTGAAAATTTTTCAAATTTACGATTTGATAATCGGTATAAGCCAATTAATGAATGTGGCAGATTAAAATGAAATCGGATTAAAATGAAATTTTTCTATTTTTTTAGGAAAATTTAAAATTTTTTGGGG